GTTCAGAAACTGGGTTTTTTTTTGTCTGATAGGATAAAGCACTAGTGCGACCCACTGGGTGACGCACAGTGCGACGCGTGAAAAGCAATACGTTTGTAAGTTTTCCTATTTCGGCTAGGAAAAGGAGATTTCATCATGGCCCAACCCTACTTGGTATAAATACATGTAAAAACGTTATTTTGAGGACTTTTGACGCACTTGAGACCTAGGGAGAGCACAGAGCCGCCGTGGAGGCCGGAATTCATCAAATTCCGTCTTTCTTCCATCAAACTTAGTAATCTTTACGTTTCTTTGGATGAATTGTTATTTTGCTACCATGTCTATGTGGAGCTAAACTTCACATTCTAGAGTTGTGGTCGTCATGAATATTGAAGTTTATTAATTACATCATCGTTAATTCGAGTTATCATATTTGGTTATTTCTTTAATTCTGTGCATAATTGCTTAATTGTTTGGCCAGCAGTTGAGTTCTATTTACTATCTATTCTATACTTGGGAAATCCGTATTTAGATTAGAGTAGAATTAGAGAGAGATTGTTTCTGAACTCATGGCTCGGGGAAAGATTTTGCGGTTAGGATAGGAATATACCTAATAGTCTTGCTTAGTTGAATACCGTATTATATTCGTTCATGATGGACTCAATATTATAGGAATATAGGGTTGATATATTAAGGATAAACGAATGGTATTATGGGAACATGCTATTTATATAAACGATCCGATCAACTAGCAATCATAGATACTTGGATTAACAGGTGTAATTACGAACTCAATAGGATTGATAAACCAACCACAACCCTGAAATCTATACATCTCTTAGTTACGTGTTTAAATTTCGCGATAGTAGTTTTAATAGAAAAACCAACTTTTGATTATCTTGGACATCAAATTGATTTTGAGTTGCTTAGTTAACGGTTAATCTAAGTCTCTCTGGGTTCAACATCTGACTTTCGACTCACTTTATTACTTGACGGCCATCTATACTTGTTATTATACTGCATTTGTAAAATAATACTGGAGAATACAAAATAACATAAATAGAAATATAAATAAAACAAAGGTTAATCCGAGCCCACTGAATTCACAGTGTTTCCTTAAGGAATTTAATTCCCTCCTAGTACCCAAAGTTATGGATTATTTCCTCCCAGGATAGAACGAATTACACACTGATGTAGTGGTACTTCAAACCCCAGTGTTTCAGCGAACACAAAGTTTGGTAGCAAATCACACTTACTGTTGCTTTCTTTGAAGTTAAAAGTATGCAGAAGAAAGGAGGAGAAACTCAGAAATTCGTATGGAAAATCTGAGAAAATGGACTTGTATTTATAGCCAATGTTGCCATGTTGGGTTGAAATCTGAAGAGGTGCAACTCTTCAGAATGGCTGTTTATGCAAAACGGCCACATCATAAATGCCATAACATAAATGGCTATTTACTCAACAATAAAGAGGGAAAATAAAGAGGAAAAATTGAAGAGAGTAGTTAATTTTCTGTTACCAAAACAGAAAACGGAAATTGAATTTTAATATTAATATTCTTGGATTTAATATTAATATTTTGTTATTAAAACATATATTTAATAACATTTATGTTAATATTTACTATTAACAAACAAATTTGGTCCAAAAAATTAATCAATCAATTGATCATTTGACCAAATTCAAATCCGAAGCCAAAGCCGAGCGACGACGTGATGCTTGCCTTCTTCTCAACTCTTTAAGAGCTAGAAGAAGAGCAATTGCTTATATACCCATTAAAATCATATTCCTCTTCCAATATGGGACAATGTCCCTTTGTCAAGGAGGGAATCTCAAATGAAACTCAAATATTTCATTTTCCGTCCATTTCCCATTCACCCTCTTTTAAGCATTAATATACTTAAAACCCAACAATACTTGTGTGTACTTGGAACCAACAATTAACTTATGTTTCCCTGAACTTAGACTGACATTTACTATGTTTCCCTCCCCTCTGACTTTTGAATTTTGATCATGGTAGTATACTATGATGAATTATTCACGGTGATTCTAACTTTCTTTTTCATTTTGATCACACACGCTTATACTTTCATCATCTGATTAAGAAATAAAAAATTTCCATCCAAGTGCACTTCTGATTATGTATTGTGTTAAAGTTCTTTAATCTAGAAGATGAACTTAAATGCATTTTACTTTTATCTTAAGTTAATATTCCTACTTTTTTAGATAAAATCATCAACATTAACTTGGAAAGATGTCATTGTTTGATTCTTGAAGTAGTAAATAGTTTTGGACATTGTCATATATGGTTTTTTTCCTGTCCGCAGTGACCGATGCATGTTATAAGCACCCATTATTTTTGGAACCACACAATCACTAATCAAGCAGGTAGCTAGCTAAACAAAATATAGCTGGACCTATTATCATAAATATACTGAACTCTAAAGACAGCTACTATATTGAGTACTAGTACTACTACACTAAATTTCAATTACCTGCAACAAATTGACAAACTAAAGACTTTTAAGTTTCTTCCAAAGAGCAGAACAAAGTTAAAGAACACGAACTATCATCATTTAAGAAATCCTAAGAGAAGCGAACCTTTTTTACATTCTGCTTTACCTCTGAAACTCCCCCACCAAAAAATAATATATGCGGAGTATTAAATCCTTCTTCTATGGTCGAGCAAAATGTTAGTTTCAGTACAGCCTTGTCAAATATCAAGATTATGGGTGCTTAAGCACCTATTACTTTTGAAGCCATACACTATTATTTATATAGAAAATTAGTAATTCATATAAATATATTACTTGAGCATCCAATCTCAGTAGTAATTTTCAGATAAAAAATAATTGAACACTCATGATTTATTAAATTTGGATCCGCCACTGCCTATCTAAAGGAAATCAAATAGAGAATTATCAATTTGGGGGAGAGTTAAGTGACATATTTCTAACTGTGAGTTTTTCCAAACATGCTAAGGCTCTGTGTTAATTCCTTTTAGTACAGTTTGGTAAAATTGACTAATATGTATGTTCTGAGATAAAGAAATTTTCATTTTCTCTAGAACATTTCCTCTTTATTTCTTTTTCTTAATTCAGTGGGAACATTCATGGGTGAAGCTACGTAGCCCCAAGGATGGTCAACTGATCACCCTTCATCGAAAAATTACACGGTATATATAGGTAAAATATTAGACTTTAGTGGTATATAACATATATTGAACACCCTTTATTGGAGATTTTTTATGCTTCTTTCTAGTTTGAACACCCTAAATGAAATTCCTACCTTCGCCACTACGAACAATAGTTTTTATTCTTTTTTGGGTTGTCCCTTTAGCTTTACTTATATGTGTTTGTTGCTTTAATTCATGGGTCAGAATTGCAACAGCGAAGTATTTGTCTTATTGTTTTTTAAAATTTTTGAATTATTTGTCCTATTAAATTATCAATTTTTCATTACATTCTGCACTAACCTCTGTTTTATTCCTTATTCAATTTTATAAAGAATCTTCTACCAGGGGAGAGATTTTGTTATATGTACTATTGAGAAATATGTATTGTTTGAAGTTAGTCTCATAGAGCTCAATATTCTTGTCTTGTTCTGATTGATTACATTGGTTTTGTAGGTCATAAATCTTACTCCACTTTGTCTGCTGCTTAGAATAATCAGTTATGGATGAATTGGTTCAGATTAGTGCCCATATTGATGCACAAACTAATTAAAGGTGCTGGGCACAAATATTAAACTTTATACTTCAGTGCATGTAAATGTCTTGAAACTTTATTATGTTGAATGGAAGTAAATAGTACTATGAAACTTTTATATATTGTATGAAACTAACTTGTCGGCATTAACTTTTATATAATCTTGTAGCTGAACAAATAATACAACCAACCATGTCGGACATATGCCCGTGTAGAGCACGGGCACCAATCTAGTCAGGTAATAATTCCAACAATTTGGTAATGGACAAGTAAAATAAGCAATACTATCAAGGAGTTTATTTTTCCCTTTTTTTTTTGTTGGGG